ATCCCCACCGCTTGGCTGGGAGCGCCTTCCCGCTTCGAGAAATTTTGTCAGAATCCCCAAAGCCTCTTATTTCGATTCTGGAGTAGCCCGGAGCATCCTGGGGATGCCAACCTGGCGTTATCAGCTCCCTCTATCCTCCTGGGGCCCAGTGGGAAAGGGATGCTGAGGATTGGGGATGCCAAGGGCTGGGGGTGCCAGGGGTTGGGGACGCAGCTCTGGGACCCCCCCAGACCCCCTGATTCTCCCCACCAGTTGGCTGCAGAGAGGCTGGGGCTAGGGAGCCAGGGGGGGGGAAAAGGCCAAGAAGAAGAGAATTGATGGTTCTCCTTCATCGCTCCTGCCATTTACCCGAAAGCAAACCTCCCTTAGAGTAGGAGTCCGATCATGCCCTGATAAAACCTTTCTCGAGGCGGATGCAGGGCTGGCGGGGGACGGTTTACCCACTAGATTAATTTTCTTGTGGGCACCTTAAAGGCTGCGGGGATTAGTGTGCGAGGGGCTCTTATCGGAGGCAATTTCTCCATCAAAACCGCAGTAATTACAGCTGAAAGGGTCTGGCTTTTTTTTTTTTTTCCCTTCCATGAGGTATAACTTTAGCACAAAAATAAAGGAGTAATTAAGGGATTGTATTGAACTAAGCGAGCGTCAGTTACTTAGACTTAGTTTTCCCTTTCTTTTTTACGAGCGTGAGCTCTGCCCTTACGTAAAGCATTAGTTTCCTTAAAGGATTAAAAGACTTTCCCACGTTTTTCCTCTTTCTTGATTCCGCTGCCCTCCGCTGAGCCCGAGAGGCTCACGGATGATCCGGAGGGTTATTGCTGTCGCCGCTTCCCTCCGGGGATTTGGGGATCAGCGAGAGGAAAAGATCTTTTAAAGAAGGCAGAAATGTTAAATTAAAGCGTGTGGGAAGGCGGTGCGGGGTGGAGGTGGGGCTGAGGCTGGCAAAAGGGATGGTGGTGATAAGGTGAAAAGTTAAGCCCCAAACTCTCAAATAGAAACTTGACTTTAACTGCATCGGATGCACTTGGGTACCTTCAAAGTCCCTGCTCCCACCCAAGCATCTCGCCTGGGACCTGCCTCTCTCCAGCCCCTCCATGCTCGCAGCACCAACAGAAATCCCACGTTATTTGAATTTTGGGAGGTTTACAGCCAAACTCTGCATATTTTCTAAGATCAGAATGCTGCTCCCCGCTCCAATCTCTTTCATTTCTCAGACCCCATTTCTCAGACCCCTTCCACTGTGTTTTTCCCACCCAGATGCCGTTGAAAACCCCGTTTCTTGCCGCTTTAAGTGCCCATGACGGCGTCCCTTGAAGGGAAAAAGCAGCCTTGGGAAATTTGCCTCAGAAATCGGGGCCAGCGCTGCGGGAATTGGGGCTCATCCAGCCTCTGGGTAGCAGAGGATGAGGATGCAAAACCTCCCAGGCGGTCGCGGGGGCAGAGGACCGCGGGGGCGGCCGTGCCGCCCTTCTTTTGGGCTCTTCCCTTGGATTTTGGGAGCCCTCACATAAAGGAGGGCTTGGCTTAGTGCTACGGCAGATGGCCGGGGGGGGTTTACGTGTGCCGTCACCTGGCGAGGGCACCAGGGATGGTTCATGCCATGGCCTGGGCAGCTTTTTTTTTTTTTTTTTGTGGATTGGAGAGATTTTTGCAAGAGGAAACAAGGGAAAAGGTGGAGTGAAAGTGAATGTTCGAGCTTGTCCTTTCCCAGCGTTTGAGTTTGAAATGCCAACCCAGTGGCTGGGCTGGGGATTTTCCCCCCCGCCTCCTCCTTTTAGCCGC